ATTTCTAGTGCTATTGAGCTTATTTTTTCCAGGCACCGTTTCAGGTTTACATTTTCTAGCTGTTCTTCCCAGTTCATTTCTGTGAAGTCTTGGTTTATTTACTCCCAGTTTATCTGTTTATTATTGAAGTTGAATTTGCTGAAATCTCCTCCACCGGGAATCGGGACTGGTTCTGAAGGTCCATTCCCCATGGTTGTCAGAACTTCAATTAAGTTGTGATCTGAGTAACACGTATTTGTAATCATTATGTTCCTGATCAATTCATCATTATTGGTGAAAATGAGGTCCAGCGTCGTCTCCTTCCTAGTTGGTTCTACTATTTGCTGGTTTAAGGCAAACCTGTCGCACATCCGTAGCAGGTCATTTGCATGTGCCTGTTTATTTAGGCTACTTCCTGGTATTTTTTCTGATATTACTATATTAGCCAGGTTATCTTGAGGTTATCTTGAGATGATTTCGGGGCTTTTTAGTGTCCCCGCGGCCCGGTCCTCGACCAGGCCTCCACCCCCAGGAAGTAGCCCGTGACAGCTGACTAATACCCAGGTACCTATTTTACTGCTAGGTAACAGAAGCATAGGGTGAAAGAAACTCTGCCCATTGTTTCTCGCCGGCGCCTGGGATCGAACCCAGGACCACAGGATCACCAGTCCAGCGTGCTGTCCGCTCGGCCGACCGGCTCCCAGGTGCTTCCATTTTAGGTACCGTAAGTTGAAGTCCCCAAGGAGGATGATGTTCGGGAATGGATTTGTGAGGTTTTCCAAGCAGTGTTCTATTTTCACTAGTTGGTCTTTAAACTGCTGAGGGTTTGCCTCCGGCGACGTATATACAAGGACAATAACTACATTTATGATCTCTATTTTGATTAACAGCACTTCCACGATATCATTTGAGGTGTTTAGCAGCTCAGTACAGATGAGTGTGTCCTTGATGTAGAGGCTGACCCCACCCTGAAGCTGGTGTTTCCTATCACATCTGAAAAGATTGAACTCTGAGATCCATATTTCACCATCACGGTAGTCCTTTGTGTGAGTTTCCGTTAGGGCTGCAAACACTGCATTTGCCTCATGAAGAAGACCATCTATAAAGTGAACTTTGTTGGATTTGCGTGTTTTTATACCCTGGATGTTGGCAAATATGAATGATGTTATCGTGTTAGTGGAAGTGCTGGATGCTTTACTTGGTGTTAATATCTGAGGCTCTGGTAGGGAGGTCACTGTGTTTGTGTCCTCTCTAGCATTTGACCGAAATGGTGGCAGAGTCTGGACATTTTTAGCCATTCTTCTCCTCTTTCTTTGCTTAAACATCATCCCGGTGGATGGAGTTGTGGCGGTTTTCATAGTGGCGGTCTGTCGGTTTTATTCGCCTGGTACCTCTTATGAAAAGCTGAACATTCCGTCTTGAAGCATTCTTTCCTGTCTAAAGAGTTCTTGCAAATTTCTGGGTGAAAGTATTCACAGTTTTTGGTACATTTACCCGTACTGAGGAGGTTTCTGCACTTTCTAGGGTGATCGTACTTACATGTTTCATTTGTTCTTCTCGATATCCCATGCTTATAGGTACCCCATTTGTAATACCAACAGATTTTGGGCCCTTCTTTTGTTTGTATCTCTTTGCCAGAGACCGCACTCTGCTGCGGCGTCCCCGACTCCGTGCAGCAACAGTCGACCCCGACTGTATCTCCCCTAACTACACCCCCTGCAACACCCCCAGCTACACACCTCCAACTACAGCCCTAGCGTCACCCCCAGCTACACACCTCCAACTACACACCCAGCCTTACCCCCAGCCCCACCCCTAGCTACATCCATAGCAACCACCCCCCTAGCTACACCCTAGCCTCCTCGTTAGCCACACCCCCAGCTACATCCCCAGCCACACCTCCAGTTACATCCCCCTGCTACAACCCCCAGCTACACCTCCGATCTACAACCCCAGCTACACCCTCGCTGTACCCTCAACTACACCCCCAGCCACACCCTCAGTTACACCGCTCGCTTCACGCCCAGCTACACCTACAGCTACACCCCCCAGCTACACAGCCGCAGCTACACAGCTACACACTCTAGCTACACTCCCAGCTACATCCCAGCTAAACACCACCTAGCTACACCCCAATTACACCCCCAGCTATACACCCCAAGCTACACACCTCCAGCTACACACCTCCAGCTACACATCCAGCTACATCCCCAGCTACACACCCCAACTTCACACCTCCATCTACTCGCCCAACTACACCCCCAGCTACGCCCCAGCTACATCCGTAGCCACACCCCTCAACTACACCCCTAGCTACACCCTCCAGCTACACACCCCAGCTACACCCTCCAGCTACACCCTCCAGCTACACACCCCAAGCCACACCCGCAGCTATATACTTAGCCACACCCCCAACTACACCTTTAGGAACCCCACCAGCTAGACCCCCAGCCACACTCCCCCGCTACACCCTCCGCTGTACCCTCAGCTAATCCCAAGCTAAACCCTTATCTACACCCCTTAGCAACACCCCCCCCCCCCAGCTACACCCTCCCATCTACACACCCCCAGTTATACACCTCTAGCTACACTCCCCTCCAGCTAAATTGCCTGCAACACACCCTCAGCTTCACCCTCCCGCTACACCCCTAGCAAAACAACCCAGCTGAACACCACCCAGCTACACCCCTAGCTATACACCCTCCAGCTACACTCCCCGCTTAATCTTCAGCTACACCCTCCCAGCTACACCCCACCAGCTACACCCCAAGCTACACACCACAGTTACACATCCCAGGTACACACCCCAGCTACACCCCCCGCTGCACCCATCAGCTACACTCCAGCTAAACACCACCTTGCTACACCCCCAGATATACACCCCAACCTACACCCTGTTATGACCCCAGGTCATAACAGGGCATAACTTAAGGTAGCCTGAAGAACGAGTCTACTGTTGTAAATTTCCAACACTAATACAATACTATTGTATTATAATAAATTAGTATTAAAATATACTAACTACTGTAGTTACTAAAACTTACTAACAGTAATGTTCACATGAACTAACTATTATGTCTGCATATGGATACTAGAATTCTTACGAAACCAAGCACCAGTATTGCGTCAGATTATACCTAGTTAAACACATTTATATCCAGTGTGTTAGAGAATTGAATGTGATTCTCTAAAATCATCAGTATTCCGTGTGATAATTATTTATGGATAACATAACTCCCAAATAATTCCAAATCAAGAGTTTTTAGTTACAATTGTTATCAAGTAATAATTTTACCGTCACGCGTGATTGCCATGAAGAAAACTAAAATCTTCTCCATTTCTTGTTTACTACCATAAGACGAGAAAGTAATAATATTTAACTCCCTAGAATTACAACCCAGTCTTTATTAAAGTCTTTCATCCATAATTGCGCGAAATAATATTATTCGTGATAAATAATTTCTGTGGCAAATGCGGGACGCGGGTTGGAGAGGAGGGAGAAGCCATTGTGGATCGAGACGCCATGGTGTGTGGCGCGGAAGTCTCGTGTTGCGGAATTGAGCAACAAGGTCGTGGCGTCAGAGTCTGAGACACGTGACGTTGAGATTATCAGCAAGAATTACACTGGTACGCAACACAGAATGAGTTAATATTGTTCTGCGTGATCTGCAGTGACCGGCCAACTAATAACACGTCGATATTCAAGCCAAGCTATCAATCACATGTACGACATTGCGGGAGTTTCAGCTTGAGACGCGGTATCGGCAAGCTTCAACATAATTTGTACCCTTAGATAAGTATATAGTTCCCTTTTGATGCATCATTAGATTGTATATGTCGGGGCAGCTTGTCGTTATATCGAGCAACCATAACAAATCCAACGTTAGTACCATATCAAATTTATTTTCCATTTTCATGAATATAGAGATTTAAGTAGCCTAGTTCAATGCTACGTAATATCCCTTAAATTACAGCTCGCATGTGAGGAGTCAACGAGCTGTTACCTAACTTCGTGTTATTCACCTCTAAGTGTTTCTACGAGGAATTCCGGAGATCACGAGGATGAGGCGTGAATGATGTCATAGAAATCGTCTTAAAGCTAAGATTTTTTTGTATTCATTTATTTACTCTAAAATTCATTATTTATACATCATTCTATCCAATCGGATGCTCATCATGTGCACTGGAGATAATCTGTGTTTATTTGAATGATTAATTTCTGATGTTAATGATCTTTATAATTTCTAGTGATAATCTTCTATAGATTCTTTAATTTGGTCATAAGATTAGTTATTACACAATGAACTGGTGCACGAACCACACTAGTTCCTAGACGTATATAAAGTTCTAGCAATACCCCCCCAATGTAGGTGTTTGAGGCTTTGATTTAAATTAATTAACTATACAGCCCATAATTATTTAAGTGATTATGCTTCATAATATTTAGCCATAGACACTGGTTCTTCCTTGTGTTTCTAATGATCACGTTTTATTAGTTTCCCTCTTTTCTTAAAAGTGGGTGGTCCTTCGTAATTGATTTCATTACTTTAATAATTAAATAAATTGAGTCAAGCCCCAGATATCTCACATCAACCCCTATGAGAGTTATTCGGCAAACTGAACCTGATTGAGAGGTCAGAGGAAGTATAGGTATGTGAACATATAATAAATAATAGGCGAATAATTTCAGTGAATACTTTCAAAGCATTAGCAGAGGATGAACATGTAAATAATTGACATGGAGGGAGGTGTCGATATTATGCCGACGTGATGTGAGGCTCGCAGGACATCTTGACCTCACTTGAGTCACAACTGTCATCAGAGGTGGATGTACTTTGTTGATCTCCTAGAATGAGGAAGAATATAGTCCCCTGTGTTAGTGCTGGAGTGATGAATACTTGTCTTCAAGTGTGAAGAAGCTACTGGGGACTGAGTACACCATCTCACTGTGATTTTCTTAATTAGAGGCGGCCTGGAAGTGAGTGTTTGGCCGTGCTTTGGTGAAACTCTAATTGTTGTACCTTCAAGAGGAAGATAGTGAACAGTCTTTTCTGTTGCAAAGCCGGTCTGGAAACGTTTTGGACACAAAACGGGAACTGCAGGAAGCTTGGTGAAGCAGTCCTGAAGCATTTTTGGTGGGCGGCCTATGTGAGCGCCATGTTGAGGTTCAATGAGTGAGCGTTCTCACGTCAGAGATTTCTGGAGGTAAGCCTATTTCATCCGTTGTTATTTTAGCCACTAGTGTTGGATCCTGTGCCCAGCGATCATAATAAACATATGAACATGTATGATAGATAATTTATTAAGGCAGTGAGATGAAATAAGAGAGTAGAGATAGAGAAACATCCTGGAGGGGGGAGTGATACGTCCATCCTCTCAGGAAGCCAGTGGCTGATCGGGGGGCGGCTGCCAGCAACGTCCCAAATGGACTCGTCCAGATGGGGGAGGGCCGTCGCGATGTGTTAGAGTTTAAAGAGAAGTCGGACCGTGGAGTTTTATTTTCTGTGAATACATATAATTATGTTTTATTAGGGAAACACTTTTATTGGCATTTCAATGCAATTGCATGTTTGTTTGGGAAGAAATTAATAGAACTTCGAGGCTGGAAGAGTGTATGCTGAACTCTGTGGGAGAGCAGAACTCCATAGTTAGGAGCTGACCTCAAGCAGTGTAGAGGAGCAGTGAAGAGGAGTTTCACGTGTTTCTTTGGGCTCACTGGTGAAGTACCACTGATGTTTGAGAAGAACTTCATTGTGTAGCAGATTGGGAGGACTGTAGAAGAACCTTGTTGACTATTTTGGAGATCCTGGAGATATACATTGTAATGAGCCTCTAGGAGTACAAACAGAGGTTCATGGTGATCACATAAGGTGTAAGGGGGAGTGCTTGAATGCTTAGTGGCGTGTAAGACGCAGTGTAAGATGAGAGATTAATTTCTTTTTGTGTTGAGGAATATATATAAGTAACTGTTTCAGGTGTTTCAGCCACAGGCTGAGTTTTATATACTTTCAGGACTGATTGTACAGTATTGATGTGACAAGTGGTGTGTCAACCTCAAGCTGAGTTTTATATACCTTTAGAGCTGATTGTACAATAGTGTTGTGGCGATATTACAATCCCCACTCAGTGAGGGAGTAGTAAGTGGTAAGCCAAGTGTTGGGCAGCCACTTGATATGGACGGTTGGTGACGCCAGGATAGGATATTGCATTGTTACCAGGTTGTAGCAGCTAGGTGTGGTATGTTAATGTTTTCATTTATTTTTGTGATATGTATTGTATATGTTATTTTGTTTATTAAATGTGTATTGTTAGCTGGCTTTTGCTCTTATCCTGGTGAGGCTTCTCAGAAAGCAGAAGAGAGTGAGAGAGAGAAAGGATCACAGCTGCGGACAGGGTGGTAGAGAATACTAATTCGTAAAAAGGGAATTTAGGAGATCATTCCATGCAAGGAGAGCGATGGGAGTCACGGTGGCTCAAGTGGGGTGTGTACACAGGACAACGAGGCAAGTGTTGGAGCCGCACCCCTAGATATGTGATGCTAAACCCCTCTCCAGGATCAAGAGGCATGCAAAGTGATCTGAGAAAACGTCAAGCACTCCAGAGTTCATTGCTGGTCGACCAACGGTAGCGGGAGTGTTGCTGCCGCGGTCGATTGTCTGTTCCGGCAGAGAGTGGTTGGTGAACGTTGTCCGCCTGTACGCTAGTAACAGTCTGGTGCAGCAACCAGAGCTCACTTTGGAGGTTTAAGTTCCATAAGCCCCAACCCCCTCAGGTCAGAACAACCCTCAGCAACACACCCCCAGCTACTCACCCTAGCTACAAACCCCCAGCTACACACCCCAGCTACACCCCCCAGCTACACCCCCAGCTACACCCCCAGCTACACACCCTGCTACAAACCCCCAGCTACACACCCCAGCTACACCTCCCAGGTACACCCCCAGCTACACCCCCCAGCTACACCCTTAATAGTGCCGGTAATGGAGTCAGGGCCGGAAGACTGTGAGACGCATCCACCAAGAATTATTCACTACTGGCTCACTCGTCGGGGCCACGGCCACACCCTCTCACATTGGTGCTCTCCCTTCCTCTCCCTCCCTCTCCCGTCTCCCCTTCCATCTGTCTACCCTATACTCTCTCTCCTTTTCTATGTCTCTTAAGAGCTTTCCATCTCTCTATGTTCCTATCTGTATATCACCCTTATTTAAGACCCTCAATCTCTTTCTCTGCCCTTTTCCTCTTCCTCTTCCTCTCTCTTCTATCTCTCCTTCTCCACTGTCTCCTCCTCCTCCTCCCTCTCTCCTCCACCCCCTTTCTACCCTTTGCCTCCTCCGCTTGCTCGACGTTTGTTCCCCTTCTTGTTCTTCTCCTCTGTCTCCTATACCCCCATATTCCTTCTGTTGGTGGTGTTCCTAATGGTGTGGCCACCAGATGTTGCAGTTGGTGTTGCTTGTGTTGCAGTTGGTGTTGCTTGTGTTGCAGTTGGTGTTGCTTGTGTTGCAGTTGTTAATGTTTGTGTTGCTTGTGTTGCAGATGGTGTTGCTTGTGTTGCAGTTGGTGTTGCTTGTGTTGCTGATGGTGTTGCTTGTGTTGCAGTTAGTGTTGCTTGTGTTGCAGTTGTTGATGTTTGTGTTGCTTGTGTTGCAGACGGTGTTGCTTGTGTTGCAGTTGTTGATGTTTGTGTTGATTGTGTTGCAGTTGGTGTTGTTTGTGTTGCATATGGTGTTGCTTGTGTTGCAGTTGGTGTTGCTTGTGTTGCAGTTGGTGTTGCAGTTGGTGTTGCTTGTGTTGCAGTTGGTGTTGCTTGTGTTGCAGTTGTTGATGTTTGTGTTGCAGTTGGTGTTGTTTGTGTTGCAGATGGTGTTGCTTGTGTTGCAGTTGGTGTTGCTTGTGTTGCAGATGGTGTTGCTTGTGTTGCAGTTGGTGTTGCTTGTGTTGCAGTTGGTGTTGCTTGTGTTGCAGTTGGTATTGCTTGTGTTGCAGTTGGTGTTGCTTGTGTTGCAGTTGGTGTTGCTTGTGTTGCAGTTGGTGTTGCTTGTGTTGCAGTTGTTGATGTTTGTGTTGCTTGTGTTGCAGTTGGTGTTGCTTGTGTTGCAGTTGGTTTTGCTTGTGTTGCAGTTGGTATTGCTTGTGTTGCAGTTGGTGTTGCTTGTGTTGCAGTTGGTGTTGCTTGTGTTGCAGATGGTGTTGGTTGTGTTCCAGTTGTTGATGTTTGTGTTGCTTGTGTTGCAGACGGTGTTGCTTGTGTTCCAGTTGGTGTTGCTTGTGTTGCAGTTGGTGTTGCTTGTGTTGCAGTTGTTGATGTTTGTGTTGCTTGTGTTGCAGTTGGTGTTGTTTGTGTTGCAGATGGTGTTGCTTGTGTTGCAGTTGGCGTTGCTTGTGTTGCAGATGGTGTTGCTTGTGTTGCAGTTGGTGTTGCTTGTGTTGCAGTTGGTGTTCCTTGTGTTGCAGTTGTTGTTGTTTGTGTTGCTTGTGTTGCAGTTGTTGATGTTTGTGTTGCTTGTGTTGCAGTTGGTGTTGTTTGTGTTGCAGTTGTTGATGTTTGTGTTGCAGTTGGTGTTGTTTGTGTTACAGTTGTTGATGTTTGTGTTGCAGTTGTTGTTTGTGTTGCAGTTGGTGTTGCTTGTGTTGCAGTTGGTGTTGTTTGTGTTGCAGTTGGTGTTGCAGTTGTTGATGTTTGTGTTGCAGTTGTTGTTTGTGTTGCAGTTGGTGTTGCTTGTGTTGCAGTTGGTGTTGTTTGTGTTGCAGTTGGTGTTGCAGTTGTTGATGTTTGTGTTGCTTGTGTTGCAGTTGGTGTTGCTTGTGTTGCACTTGGCGTTGCTTGTGTTGCAGTTGGTGTTGCTTGTGTTGCAGTTGGTGTTGCCTGTGTTGCAGTTGGTGTTGCTTGTGTTGCAGATGGTGTTGCTTGTGTTGCAGTTGTTGTTTGTGTTGCAGTTGTTGATGTTTGTGTTGCAGTTGGTGTTGTTTGTGTTGCAGTTTGTGTTGCAGTTGTTGTTTGTGTTGCTTGTGTTGCAGTTGGTGTTGCTTGTGTTGCACTTGGCGTTGCTTGTGTTGCAGTTGGTGTTGCTTGTGTTGCAGTTGGTGTTGCCTGTGTTGCAGTTGGTGTTGCTTGTGTTGCAGATGGTGTTGCTTGTGTTGCAGATGGTGTTGCTTGTGTTGCAGTTGGTGTTGCCTGTGTTGCAGTTGGTGTTGCTTGTGTTGCAGTTGGTGTTGCTTGTGTTGCAGTTGTTGATGTTTGTGTTGCAGTTGTTGATGTTTGTGTTGCTTGTGTTGCAGTTGGTGTTGCAGTTGGTGTTGCTTGTGTTGCAGTTGGTGTTGCCTGTGTTGCAGATGGTGTTGCTTGTGTTGCAGTTGGTGTTGCTTGTGTTGCAGTTGGTGTTGCTTGTGTTGCAGTTGGTGTTGCTTGTGTTGCAGTTGGTGTTGCTTGTGTTGCAGTTGGTGTTGCTTGTGTTGCAGTTGGTGTTGCTTGTGTTGCAGTTGTTGATGTTTGTGTTGCTTGTGTTGCAGTTGGTGCTGCCTGTGTTGCAGTTGGTGTTGCTTGTGTTGCAGTTGGTGTTGCTTGTGTTGCAGTTGTTGATGTTTGTGTTGCAGTTGTTGTTTGTGTTGCTTGTGTTGCAGTTGGTGTTGCCTGTGTTGCAGATGGTGTTGCTTGTGTTGCAGTTGGTGTTGCTTGTGTTGCAGTTGGTGTTGCAGCTGGTGTTGCTTGTGTTGCAGTTGGTGTTGCTTGTGTTGCAGTTGGTGTTGCTTGTGTTGCAGTTGGTGTTGCTTGTGTTGCAGTTGTTGATGTTTGTGTTGCAGTTGTTGATGTTTGTGTTGCTTGTGTTGCAGTTGGTGTTGCTTGTGTTGCAGTTGGTGTTGCTTGTGTTGCAGTTGGTGTTGCTTGTGTTGCAGATGGTGTTGCTTATGTTGCAGATGGTGTTGCCTGTGTTGCAGTTGGTGTTGCTTGTGTTGCAGTTGGTGTTGCTTGTATTGCCATCCACTCCCACTCCTCTTCCTGTTCCTGTTCCTCCTTTTTGTCCTTCTCTTCCTTCTACTCCTTTTGCTCATTTTTCTCCTCCTTGTTGTTGTTCTTCTCTTCCTTATCTTCTCGTACTCCCGGTCTTTTTCCTTATCTTTCTCTTCCTCCTCCT